TTTTTTTTGCACTCCATTTTTTCATGATTGGATTTGCGGAGCCAACTGACGGCTCTTCATGTGATTTTCATCCCCGAATTGTAGGTCGAAGCTGAGAATCACATGAAGAGGCATCAGCTGGCTTCTTAAGCTCAACTATGACATCTCAATTTATCAAGACAGTCGTACAAACCACAACGCAGAGCTGTTTTTTGTTTGAGGTTGAAATTCATAGTCGGCTCCACCGTTTATCTGCTCAACGGCTCTTTTATTTACTAACTTCTCAGGATAATGCATGCTTACGTGTACGCATGGGAGGCAAAGAGGCAGGACGACGTGGAGTCATCGCTGACGGCTGGAGAAGGTGCACGAATGATCGAGTAGGAACGAGTGATAATGACGATTTCTACACGACAGATCTTCTCGCAAAAGCGATATCACTCACGTTCGTCAAATTGCCAGTGAGTTGCCTTATCATCCGAAGCTTGCAAAAACATCTGTCATCTTGACCGTTCTGCAAAGAGTCTTCGGTTGTCTGCGTCCCGTATATTCTGGAAAATTCCTTGAACGGGACCGATCAAGTCCCTTACTCAAATGAAATAAAGAACGACAGCGGGGAATTGACGGTAGGACAAGTACTGCTGGTTCTTGGTTGCGTAGGAGAAAGGGGACTTTATATTCCGCCCTTAGAAAGGCTCAACAAAAGAGGAGCCATTCTCTTTCTGCTGCTCGACAGGGTCAGCCATAGAGTACTTCCCAAGCTCCAAAACGGATGGTAAAGTGACTCGAGTGATCCATACATCCATCCCTATCCTCTCCTCAGTCGTATCATATAGATGTCGCTCCCTCCCCTCGTACAAATACCACCCTCATCCCGAACTCCGGACCTCCGCTCTATGGTGAGATTTGAGAAGGAAAAAGAAATAAATGTGCTGAATAGGGTGTGATTGTTGAATTCCTATCGACATTCCTCATACGATTTGTTAATTTTTTTCTTCTTTATGGGGAAGCCGGAGCTCACCGATAACAACCCTAATAAGCATGTCAAATGGGTGTGCATTCATATCGCTACAGACCTGATAAATGGCAACACTGCAGGAGACCGATGGCGCTGAACTGTATGAGCTCAAACTCAAAAATGTAGCGAGTTATCGTGGGCAATCTCCTCTTTTCCCACTTGGGAAATGTTTCCTACTAAAATCTCCGGTTACCTTTCTCTTGCCTCAAGAGCCCTATATGATCGCAGTGGAGTTCGTGGTCCCACATATTAGGGTTTTAGGACGTCTTCGATCTGGGCCGACAGTTAGTCCAGCTTGGTTCGGTTAGTTGCGCCCTTTACTGTCATTACTCCAGATGGCGGAGTTTTTGGTCCTTTGAGAGGGTCCTTTCTGTTCGGGAACCTCGACTAACAGGGCCGAGCAGGTGGTTATAGGCAACGCAGAAATGCGAATGTATCACAAAATGTGCTATGTCTAGAACAGTAACCATTTCGCTGAATTCATTTGTCATTTTGCACTTGCAATTTTCCAATCAAGTTTTTTCTTTAATCAGAACTGAATGTTCAATGGTGTCTTATCTCTTAAAGGCGACTGATCGGGGAAGTTGAACACGTCATTGTTTTGGGCGCTCTTTGATGAGTAGGCGCCCATGGAAATGATGCAACTAATTTAATCGCTGATGCACTGTAATATTCCGGTTCTTTATTTTGGTGGGCTAAAAAAGTCCAGTGATAAACGTCAAGTGGGCTGGTTTAGAGAAGTCACAGGTTTGGGGATCAGGCTTCTCAAAGGGTTGTGCAGGAAAGAGGATTTTCTGGTTCATCTGTGCTTCTGACAAGGGAAATTCATACACAGCGATGGAATATGATCAGTTTCTGAACCGATTTATGTGCTTCACCGGTATTTTTAAAAATAATTAGATATTTTCCTTATTTGGCTTTATTACAGGATTTCATTCACCGATTATACGTATCAAGTGATCATGTCAATGAACCGCTGGAAGGCAAAAAAGTCACAGTGAAAAGTACCGATCGTTACCTGGAAATGTACTTGCCGAATGCTATCCGTGTCGATATCGATTCCTTGTAAGAACAGTACCGGTCTCCTGCTTAAGTAGGAGTCCTTACTCGCATAACTGCCTTCATACTTTATAAATGGGTCTTAAATCGCTTCCAGTACCAGTTCGGTTCCAGTAGTCGGCTCTTCACAACGATACATTCGGACATTATGTCTGTGCAATTTAGAATCTGCCACTTTGCATTTAGGTAATAGAAAACCTACCGTAACCTAGCATTCCGTTTAGTTTTACTAGTTTTTTTT